TAGCTTTATGGGAGTATAATTGACAAAAATGCATGTATTTGTGGTGTATAACATGATACTTTAATCTATATATGCATAATTTTGATAATGTACCCCTACAGAGTTCTTTTCATCCCACTCATATGCCATTTTAGACCTTTGTAAACAGGGGGTGACACCTTCAAAATACTACCTTTACACAGTTCCTTCTCCACAGCTTCATCAGTCCTGCACTCTTTCCCTCCCATTTCAATGAAAGAACTACCTCCCTTTCTCTGAGGCCAGTCTTTTCATCTTTTCTCCCTTTTCATTCTGCGATGCACACACCCCACCCGCCCTCAACTTGTTCAAGGACCTTGCATCATCAAGCTCTCTGCTATCTATATATAAATTGTTTCATCTCTCTCCTGTAGTTAAAGCAAAGCAAAATTAAAAGACTTTTCTGGTTCCTCATGCTCTACTGACTCCTTCCCATCACATCAGACTGGCAAAAATTCAGAAGACTGTCACAGACTAGGGACATAGCTCAGTAGTATTGAGCTTGACTAGTATACATAGGAGGATGTCTCTTTGGCTTTGCCTATTCAAAATATTAAATGTATAAATATTTTATTTATTTATTTTTAATTGATGTGATAATTGTCTATATTTATGAGAAACAATTTGATATTTAGGTCTATGCATTCTTAGAAAGATTCAGTTTAGCTAATTAACATACCTATCATCTCACCCATTTATTTTTTCTTGTGGTAAGAATGTCAAAAATCTATTCTTGGGCTGGGAATACAGGTCATTGATAAAGTGCTTGCCTAGCACATGAAAGGTCCTGGGTTCCAACCCCACAACCACGAAAAATACACACACACACACACACACACATACACACACACACACATATAACAATTTTAAGTATATTCTACATTATTATTAAACATGGTCACCATGTAATGCAATAGATCACTAAAATATACTCCTCCAGTCTAATTGAAACTCTGTACTCTTTGATCAACATCTTCCTGACCCAAAAATTCTCCTACTAGAAAGCCAACCCTCAGAAATACTTATGTGTGTATATCCTTAAGTATTATGCAAGGATATTCATTGCAGCCTTGTGGTTTGGACTAGGGTCATAGGCAGAGGAGGTGGAGGCTGTGGCAGAATACATGATACAGTCTGAAAATCAGATTGGCAGGACTTCCTTGTGAATTAAATGTGGCGGTGGTGTAAGAAAAAGAAAGGAATGAAGGGTGACCCCATGTTCTTGGGTTAAGCAACTAAATGGATGATGGTGCCATTTTACTGAGATAAGGGAAGCTAAAGGAAGGGGTTGAGAATGTGAATGCAATGAGGAGTTGTTTTAGCTATGTTATATTTGAGATATTATTAAACAGACAAGAAGAGATGTCAAATAGTTCAGTGAAGATATGAAACTAATGCTTATAAGAAAAGTCCAGGTCAGAGATATAAATTTGGGAGTGACATGTACCTTGATAGATACTATTTAAAGCTTTGAGGCTAAATGAGAGCCTCTAGGATCAAGAAAACTCCACTGATTTGAGTTCTGGGTAACTCCAAATGTTTGAAGTTCATGGAGAAATTGAGTAGTTTCTTGTACAAATTTGAGTTTGTACAAGTTCAAAAGTTCAAAAGATTGAGTAGTTTCTTGTACAAACTTGAGTTTCAAAAAAATTAGCATATATTAAATGGTAAAATAATTACCACCTTTTCCAGGGCTCAATTCCTTCCAAGTCTGTTTTTTAAATTTTTTTTATAGTTGTAGATGGACAGAATGCCTTTATTTTATTTGTTTATTGTTATTTGGTACTGAGGATCGAACTCAGTGCCTCACACATGCTAGGCAAGTGCTCTACCACTGAGCTACAGCCCCAGCCCCCAAGTCTGGTTTTTGTTTTGTTTGTTTGTTTGTTTGTTTGGTACTGGAGATTGAACTCAGAGGAACTGAACCACTGAGCCACATCCCCAGCCCTATTTAGTATTTTATTTAGAGTCAGGGTTTCACTGAGTTGCTTAGAGTAATGGCTGGCTTTGAACTCACAATCCTCCTGCCTCAGCTTCCAAAGCCACTGGGATTACAGGCATGTGCCACTGCACCCAGCACCAAGCCTGTTTTGAAGGGATTCTGGCCTTTTCCTGAACCTTTCAAAACACATTTAAACGAAATAGCACTTTTTTGTTTCCTGTCACACAATAGTTTTCCCCACTTGCATAGTCCTCCTAGTATAGAACCTAGTATAGAATTAGTCAAGTACTACACAAGTCACACTCAGCTACTGCTTTACCATAAAGTTTATAATTCAGTAACTATTTCACACCTCAAAGGCTAAGGGTGACTTGAGGCCAGAAGCCTAATTTGTGGCATCTATTATTCTTTTAAGCTGTTCACTTCCCTGTTGCATAGTAACTTTCTTCAACCTCTTCCTGAGCTTGCCAAGTGCCCAAAATGCCTCAGGACATCTGACAATCCACATCCCCTCCTCCTAATGTGCAGCCCTCATTCCTACCACCAAGAAGCATAACATCTTTGCATTTTTACTTTTATACTTTAGAAGTTTCCATCCAGAGACCTATGCTTTAGAAAAAGAGAGAGGAAGCACTTCCAACTAGGTCAAAGTTGTCGTCAGGAATGAAATCTCAAAGCAAAACTCAGTAGAAGGAAAGCTATAAGAGAACTGGGCCTGGGGCAACCTTACACCTGTAGGGTGACAAACTGGGCAGGTTTAATTTCAGGCCCAGGAGCATACAAAAGAGTGCCAGATCCTAGAATGTGAATGTCATTCATTAATTCATTTCACAAATATATGTATGCACCAATGATATCCCAGGCACTGTTTTGAGTCCTGGGGGTCTACCAGTGAATACAACAGACAGCAGTCACTGTCCAATTGAACTTTATGTTATGGAGGGGGAGGAAACAAATAATAAGCAATAACAAGGTAGGAAAGGAATATAAAGAATGTTCAGGAATGGGTTGCAAGTTTAAATACAATAGTCATGGAATGCCTTGCTATGAAGGTAACATTTCAATACAAATTCCCAACTATGGGGATTCAAGTGCCTCAAGATGGTGTTTCAATCCCATCATCACCACATGTCAACCCCCTTGAAAGCATAGTATTCCCAGTTCCTAGAACAGTTAATCTCTTGTGCTTAAGACAAAGGGAGTTCCAACATCCAGACCTTGCCCTTAGAAAGGTTACAACCTTCCAGGTGCAAAAACAACCAAGAGTGGTGTTAAGGGCTTTATTGAGGAGTAAATAAATTGCTTTAAACAGGATAACTAGTAATTCTGCTTGCGGGAAGGGAGTGTATGTTCAGTAAGGTTGTCACAAAGGAAGTGACTTTAGAGCTAAATCTTGAGAGATGAACAAGAATTAATGGCAAGGATAAGGGTATGGGTGACAAATCAGCTTTTCAGGAAGAAAAACAAAAGAGAACAGTTTGCTGAAATTCCCGGAGCTACAGTTGGGGAAGACATCTTCCTTCCCATTATTATGGCCTAAGATACTGTATTCATCCCATAATAAAACAAGTACACCAACACCCTCATGCTCTAAGGCATGGATGTGGGGAAATTCTTATCACCTACCACCCCATTATTTCTCCCCTAGCCATCAGGAGCTGATGAAGCTGAGTCGGTTGTACATCCCTAGAATCCAGGGTCATGTTCTCCTAACTTCAGTACAGTTAACACTGAGTTAAAAGCCCAAATTTCATTCATCCAGGTACACTCAAAAGTATGTTTTTGTAGTGACAATATGGCAAGCAGCCTTACACTGGAAATGAAGAGGGTAAGACATTAGTGCTGGAAGTAGTCCAAAGCCCCCACAGTGCACCTATGATGAAACTAAAGGCCAAAACATATGCTTGAGCTTAAAAGAGAAGTTTTTAATTACTTAGTCCTCACCCCTGAGCTATTAGTGTTCCTAACATCCAAGACAGTAGTGATAATGTGACGGGATAGGAACATAAACTGTGCCCCCATCAGAGAGTGATTTAGCGCAAGGCACTTAACCTCCAAATCTCCATCATCCTCGTTATAACCATAACGTACTGCATTGAGTTATCTTGAGAATTGTATGAGATAATTATGTAAAGAACTTATTATCATGCCTAGCAATAAATAATTCTAACAACCATTATCAGGAGCAGACTTTAAGGGGAAATGCTCAGAGTACCAACCAGAATGTTATATACACTCACTGATAAATTACCCTAGAACAGGCCTCCAAGCTCCATGTCACTGCTTTAACTTAGAGTAAAACATTTGAAATTGTGTTACCAGAAATATTCATCCCCTACCCAAAGAGCCTCATAAGTCATCAGTGGGCTTTTTCTACTAGCATTTTTTGAAGGGGCTTACACACACACACACACACACACACACACGGGAGAGAGAGAAAGAACCAGAAATGCTATTAGGGCCACAACTCTGCAATAGACATAGTTATTGGGGGTAAACAGTTTACAAATATTTTAGGTCATTTTTCCCTACAAGTAACGGATTTATGAGTGGTGGGGGTGGGGAACTGAAAGAGCAGAAAAGAAGCCAGTTAAAAATAGGAGGTCCAGGAAGTACTGAAGACTAATTTCTGCCACAAATGTACAGGATCTAGGGTCACCCAGCCAGAAGCAATATGTGGAATGCTAGATCCTCTGGTCCTGAAGAAGCAGAATACTAGGGGAAGAAATGGTTAGTGAGGAACTGATTATTTTTTAAAGCCACCAGAATTCTAATCGATTTATTTCACCACCAAAACCCCATCTTATTCAACATTAAGGGCAGGAGAAATACCTTCTGCCCTTTACAAACCATCACAGAAGATAGAAGTGTTCTATGCCCTAGTGTGGGCTCTGGAAGTGCTCCCCCAGTAGCAAATCACCACAGCCTGCTTGACAGGCAGCAAGATAAAGCAGTTCAGCCCCAGAGCACAGATCTGGAACCCCCATTCCCAAGCGCAGAGAGCTCACTGAGGCAGAACCAACCGGCCTCCCGCTTTTACCTGTGGATGACCAGCTGAGGACAGGGAAGCCAACGCCTCGAGGTCTGAGCACAGACAGGGCAGGGCAGAGACCCCTTGCGACTAGGGAGCTCTGTGAGAGAAACCAAAGGTGACAGGACGTCTGGAGTACAGTTCCCGCTAGGAGCTCGGCCCCACCCCCGCCCACCCGGCCAACTCTCTGGAGGGGCTCGGCTGGCGGGAAAAATCTAAGCACACCGCACCAGAGATGACAGGGATGAGGCAGCACCTCGAGAGATATGGTCCGTGTTGACTACGTGTGGGCGAGGGAACCGGACTGAAGAAGTCCATGGCAGGAGGGACCGCCCCAAGCAGACGGGACTCAAAGCGTTGGGGGTGCGGTCCAAAGAGACCCAAAGGACGGAGGGTACAGTCGGTCAGCTAAGGAGAAGGAAAGACGGAAGGGGGCTAGAGAAGGACTTAAGTCTCTGATATGGGGGTGGGGGCGTTTTAGCAGCGAAAAGGGGCTGGGGGTCCAGAAAGAGTCCTGTACAGAGGGCGAAGGGGCGGCCACTGGCTGCGGACCTACCTGTCACCTGCAACAAGTGCCGCGAGAGGGCTAGTCGTCCCAGTGTCGGATTCAAGGGAGGGTCTCTGGCTCCGGGAAGACCGCAACCCTGCGCCGGGCAGCTGGCCCAACTCACTCTCCCAGGAGGCGGAAAAAGCTGCAACTTTCCCTGGAGCGGGGAGGAGCTGGACTCTTAAAGGGGCCGCACAATGCTCCAGGCTCCTTAAGAGGGGGCCCACGCAGCCTGAAGGTGAGCCAAAGCCTTAAGACACTGGAGGAATGTCTTCCAGGGGTAGGAAAAGGAGCTCAGGGACTGGATCTCAAGCTAGACATGCTTCCTCCCCCGTTTACTTCCATCTGTGGTCACTCTTAGATGGTAATATCACGTACCTCTCTCCTCTTCAGCTGAGCCCAAAGTTGTCAAATTGTCCTGTACTTCTAAGAAAATAAAAGATTCTCAACTATATAATTTGGGAAAATAAAATATATGGCATCTGATTCTTTGACTTTCAGCTTTTTATAACAAATATAAATACCCATCTAAAATAGAAACGTTTTGGGCAAAGAACATAAGTTGCATATTCGTGCTCTAGGACACAATTGATTAAAATACTCAATTCACTAGTAATAAAAGAAGAACAAATTAGCACAATAATGTAATTATTTGGCAAACAATTTCATGGGTTTTAAAAATAACATTTAATAATGACAAAAGTGACCACCAAACAAATTCTCTCAAAACTGCTGGTAGACTTGTTTGTTGGTTTAAAGCCTTTTTAGAAAGCATGTGACAACTATGAATCAGTAAACTTTAAAATGTTTATATCTATGCAATAGTTACAGATCTCTCCCTTCTTCTCTCCCCTCCTTTCTTCATATCAGTTATTACACATACTCAAGTCTCTCATCTCCCATCCCCAAATAAATCTGTTCAAGCCTCTATCCTATCTACATATGAGGTTCCTCTTCCAGCAAATTTATTGAAAATGTATTTACATGTGTGTTTGCAACTTTCATTCCCTTACTTCTCATTCATTTTTCAGCCCCCAACAGTCTGTTTCCTTCCCCCACTGAAACTGTGCTTAACCAGATATCCAACCAATGACCTCTGATTTAACAAATCCCTCAACAAATAAATAACTAAACAGGGCATTATCAGCCCTTGTCTTTCTGGACCTGCCCTCTACATTCAATAGTTTTAAACATTTCATCCTCCTTGAAACTCTTCCTGTAGCATCTATGACAACATTTTCTTCAGCTTTTCCTTTTACTACTTCAGTCTCATTTACAGGTTCCTCCTCTGCTATCTGATCTCTGAAAGTCAAACATTCTCAGGGTGAGAAAAAAAATAGTCTCTCCCTAAATGATCCCTTTCACTCACATAGCTTTAATTGTCAACTATATGGCCACAACTGCAATTTTCTAATTCTACCCAGACAGTTTCTATTTTCTTGACATCTCCATGAGTATTACCTCACATTCAACACATCCAAAGCTGAACACACCATCATCAATTCACTTAAATTTACTATTTCTACAGTATTTTCTATCTCATTAAAAGACAGCATGTCACTCAAGGCACAAACCTGGCATCTAGCATAGTACCTGGCACATAGTAGGCCCTCAGTAACAATAATATAAGGAAAAAGAGATGTACATAAATGTTTTGTCCAATTATTTTAATCCTAGTATTATGTAGAATAATAAAACACTAGGGAAAAATAGCATGATTCAATGGTTCAGTAAATTATGCTAAAGTCATAAAATGGAACATTATATAGACAAACTGATATTTCCATGTAGTTTACTATGCCAGGGAAATGCTTATGTTATACCATTAGTTGAAAGTAGTATACAAATTTAATATAAAATATGTTCCCAACAATTAAAGGATGGGATATGCATGGTAAACATTAGAAGGAAACATGCAAAATACTAATAGTGAATATCTGTAAGTGGTAAACTAAGTGAATTTTTGTTTTCCTCCTAATTTTCTGCGTTTTTCAATTTTCTTATAATGATCATTATGGCTTTGGTAATTTAAAAATCTTTTTGAAAAATCTTTAAAAGGCAAAAATCATTTTAATTATTGCAGACAGTACAATAAAAATCCAGTCCCAGGCTCTGAAGCCTGGAAAACTCAGTTTTCTTTCATACTTTAGCCTCTCAGTACCCTGCCTCCACCCTGAAGTGTGAAGCAGCCACTTCAAAAAGGAAATCCTTTTGTTTTGTAGCTTTGCCAACTCAGACCTTGAGGGGGTGTTCTGCTCAGCCTTGGTCGTTGTATGTGGTCCACTCCCATTCAGGGACTGTGGTGACTCCTTTGCAAGTGGTGCTTGACAGGAGCTGGAAACATCTTCAGCCAGAAGTAACATCAGAAAACATTTAGCCCAGCCCCTTTATTCCTCAGGAAAATTTTGTTTTTACTTCTTTCTATGTGTGCAGAAACTCTCCAACGTCCACTTCACTAAAGAGGATGTGAGAATCTGACTCCTCTAAGAGGATCTCACTGACCCAGTTACAAATCACAGTGTGTCAAACATCAACAATAAACCAAAACAAAGTTAGAAAAGTTAGCACATGTTCTCTACTTTGCAAACTGCTGTCTATTTCTATTGATCCTACTTGTCTGCCACAAGAATTCTGTGCTCAAATTTTTATATTAAATATTGTGAGAGGTCCAAAGCAAACAAGTCCAGGCACTATCCTGTGCAAAAATATAAACAGGAACTTATGGATTATGATCCTACTTACAGTATGTAAACTCCTGTCTGTAGTGAATGATTGGATTCAATGAGTTGTTCAATTTTGCCACGTTGAGGATGTTCTGGCTACTGCAAACTTGAAAATATGGAGATTTTCCTCAGCTCCCAGAGACAGAATACCTCAATATTTAGCAATTTTTCTTTTTTAAAACTCTTAAGAGTTTCAAAAATACATAAACATATAGAGAATAATTTTAAAATGATATGCCCACTACTAAATTGAAAAAATAAAGCATTACTAATACAATTAAATCCCCCTATGTTTTTCTCCATTGCAAGGATTTCACTATCTCAGATTTTAGTCTTGATCATTCTATGTGTATCTACATAACATTTACTATATATGTGTCTATTGCTGAACAATATGTAATACTTTACATAAATAGTATTATTCTGTAAGTACCTTCTGAAATTTGCTTTCCTCAATTTTATGCTTATGTGGCTTATCCTTGTTAATAGATATAGCTATAGTTCATTCATTTTCATTGCTACAAAGCATTCCAGGGCTTAAAGATATTGTAATTTATAGTCTCCTAATTATCAGGTACTTTATTTTTTTACAAAAGCTTCTTTTTTAAATCTTTATTTTCTTTATTTTTTAATATGGTGCTGAGGATTAAACCCAGTGCCTCATATGTGCTAGCCAAGTGCTCTACCAATGAGCCACCACTCCAGCCCCTATAAGGTATTTTCTAATTGCCAAAGTTTTAATTCTGATTTTCAGGACACTCCCTCATCATCTCATGTTGAATAATAGTTTACTTTAGTAAACAGAGAGAGAGAGAAGAAAAGAAGAAAGGAAAAAGCAGTCTTCCTAACAAAATAAATTTAGTGTACTAGTTGTCTATACTGAGTCAGTGAGTATAGGCTATAAAAATTAGGTGCAGTCTCTCAGTCAAGATGAGCATTTATCAATTTGCACACTATTGACATTTTTGACAGGATACTTCTTTGTTTTAAGGTGGAGCGAGCCATCCTGTACGTTGTAGGATACTGAGCAGAATCTCTTTCATCTATCCATTAAATGCTAGTAACTTTTTTTCCAGTTGTGACCACCAAAAATATCTCCACATACTGATAAATGTCCCCAATTAATAATGTCAACATTACTGATATGTTCCACAGGCAAAGCACTTAAGTAAGTGCTAAGAAAAGATAGAAGAACAAATGCTGAAAAAAAAACATTCATTCAATGATATGTATCCATTGCTATGTGCAAAGTATACTGTGCTAAGCACTGCAATTTGGGTGACCCTTTCCTCAGGAAGTTCACTGTTTATTGACTGGGGTGGGGTATAAGGGCAGGCAAATTATAAACATAAAATTATAAAATAATATGGAAAAGGCAAAGCTAAAGAGATACCCAGGATATGTGGGAATGCATAGGAAGACCATTTGCATCACCCTGGTAGGAAAGTAGACTGTGAAGACTCCCAGGAAAAAGTAATAGCTTCTCTGAATCTTAAAGATTGAGTAGGAATTAAGTAGACCAAAAAGGTAGAAAGGAATTCCAGGCAGAAAAAAATACCATAAGTCAAAGCAAAAAGGCTAGAATAATACTAGATATGTGCAAGGAACTACAGGTACAGTGGTGTTGTTGGAACATAGATATAAGGAAAAGGTGATGATAGATGAAGCTAAAAAAATTGTGTATTAGATTTTTAGGGCTGTCATAACAAAGTACCAGAAACTGAGTGATTTAACAACATAAACTTTTTTCTCACAGCTCTGGAGGCTAGAAGTCTGAGATCAAGATGTTTGTAGGATTAGTTCTTCCTGAGGGATGTAAGGAAAAATGTGTTTCATGACTCTCTCCTAGCTTGTATGAATTTGGAGACACACTACTCATTACAGATATGCAGAGACTAAAATTTCAGAGACATTGTGAGTCGTGTTAAGAATTTTGGCCAAGAATGGTGGTAGATGCCTGTAATCCCAGTGGTTTGGGAGGCTGAATCAGAAATATTGCAAGTTCAAAGACAGCAACAACTTAGCAAGACCATGCCTCAAAATAAAAAGCAAAAAAGACTGGGATATGGCTTGGTGGTTAAATGCCCCTGGTTTCAATCCCTGGTGCCAAAAATAATAATAATAATTTGGGATTTATTCAGTAGCTAATTATAGTCATTCATAAAGCCCTGGATTTCCCTGCTCTGCTATTTTTTTATAACATCACTCAAATCAGCTTTCATCCTTTTAATGGCTAAATATTATTCCAATGTATACCACATTTTTTATATAATTACAAAATGATATTTAGGTTGTTCCTAAATCTTGACTGTTACAAGCCAAAGCAATCCTGAACCAGAAGAATGATGCTGGAGGTATCACAATACTTGACCTTGAATGATACTACAGAGCTATAGAAACCAAAATAGCATTGTATTGACCTTAAAACAGACATGAAGACC